TAACGCCGCTGCTGTGGCAAATATTTAAGCGGTGTTAAAATGGGGATGTATAGTAAATGGGATCATATTGCTTGTGCCGCCAGCAAACCGACCTTTTATAACAGGCATCAGTACAGTTCATAAAGACATAAAACAACAGCTGCTCAAAATTTCAAGGCTTTATAGTTTTATCTGTATTTAAGAAATATTGGCTTTTTTTTTTTTTTTAAGGCAGTGTGTTTCAGTGGCTGGAGGGAGTAGCTGGGAGACAAGCTGCACTGGGTTTTCTCCTTGGCTGTCGCCGCAGGGACACCAGGACTCGAGGAGGCCCCCCTGTTGCTCTCTGCCTCAGTTTCCCCATCTGTAAAATGAAGCCAACAGCAGTTGTTTGTCAGTAAGGATTAGAAGAAATGAGCGTTCGTAGGTGGTGCTAGGATTGTACAAGAAACCTTCGGCATGTATATCTAGGCTTTTCTCTAAACTAAATAAGACACAGATGCTTTTTCTCCGTATTTAAAGGCAGATTTTCAAGTCACATCCCCCTCCACCTTTCCGTTCGCTTTGCCAGTGGCCTCCCTCATTGCCTGTCCACGAAGGAGACCAAAAGACCAGGGTAGCTTTGCTCATTCGCATCCAAGACTCGCCGACTGGCTGTATTTTGCCAATTAGCGAGTATGAGAACAATCCTAATTAAAAATAAAAAGCCAGAATAAAACATCATGAGATGCCGTTCTTCCATTTATTTTTGCCATTATAGTTTTAATTATTTCTGACAATGCTGCTGCTTTTTTTTTTTTTTTTTTTGTTAAAAAACCCCCCCCCGTTTTTTTTCCTACCGCAGTCTATTTCCTAGCACACGATGAGGCCTCAGTAAAATACGACCAGCAGGAGCCGGTGGCAGGACCATAGTCTCTGGGCGTAGGTTTGGGAGGCTGGGAAATCAGATTTTTTTGCCTCTTTCTCGGTCAAACCGCCGGCCCTCAGTTTACCTACCTGTTAATGGGGGTTGTGACACTGACCCGCCACCGTGCAACCGTGGTACCCGGCAGAGAAAAGAAGTGTTAATGCAGCCACATCTCTGCTGTTAAATCCTTGCTGAGAAGTGGGAAGAGAGTTGCCGCTTTTTGTGTTCAAATGCTAAAAGCGTGGGGATTAGTGAAGAGCAGATTAGCGAGGACTTGCTCCATTGCTGCCCCCTCCCTCCCCCTCCTACCCAAAAAGTTTTCTGAAGCAGCTAAATATATACCTGCCGTTTCCAAGGTAGAGCTCGCTGCGTGGCGGAGCTGTAATTGGCAACTCAGTGAAATTACAGCCACGGATTCTGGCATTTGGATCCTCCTGGCTGGCATAATAATTTCTCCCTAGGTAG